GAGAGAGAGAGAGAGAGAGAGAGAGAGAGAGAGAGAGAGAGAGAGAGAGAGTTTTGAACAATCTGAGTGTGGTCATGACTTGGGTTCGAAGGTGTTAGACTTCAACATCAAACAAACAAAAAATACCCCAAGATTTGAAAATGAGCCTGAAAACTAATGAGTGGCCTAAAAATACCAGTAGTTTTATGTGGGACCATAATGAAGTTTCACAAACGTGTTTTTAACCAAACATGTCAATGGCAGATGGGGGAAATGTATAAACAGCTTGGTGGAGATCAACAAGATACCTTTAGTGTAAACATAAATTGATTTGACTAATGGCAGCACGAGTTGAAGCGTCTTTATACAGGATGAGATAGAAAGAAAGATCGAACATTGTCTTTCTGAAATGAGCCCTTTTCTTGAGTAAACTGAAAACTTCGAACCTTTTATATTGTAAGAAAACGTGTACGTGCTAGTTCCCACGGATCTCAGTTGGTTGATAAAAAATATCCAACAGTGCGCATTCCTCGGGAGATGGGCTGATCAATTTACCGTCCCCACTACAGATATTATGAATATCGGCCTATGTGGACACTCCTATCGATTGGTTTTGCTAATGTGCTTAGGGCTGTCATATCGATAGAAGGTGATATGAAATGTTTTTGGGGGCTATTCACGTCAGGCTTTAAAAATGTTATTGAGTTAGGATGTTAAAAATCGTCGAAACCAGCAGAATAGCTAAGACAAAGACAAACTTGTACATGGAAAACCTTTCAATGGGATAAAAAGACGTGTCCTAAAATAGGTCAGGGTTGTTGTTTCATAAGATTGTTTTTAATAGAAATTCTTTACCATGTTATAAAAAATACTTGTTAAACATTTAACAATATTTATAGGCGCCAATTTTTCTTTGTGTTTTACCAAATTGATATGGCCCCATAATACAATATACGGCTCCAAAAATTGCCATGGACAACAAAGGAAAAAAATGGCAGTCGCAAGCTGCATGCTATTTCTGTAACGCAGCTGTGATATCGCCATAAACATTTCTTGACCCTCCGACGCTGAAAAGAACAGATCGAAAGATGGTCAACTGAGTACAGATCTACACCAACTGTCGCATGTTACGATAAAAACATATATATGGATCTGGGGTTATTTCTAATATTTTTAAATACAAATCCTTCTCGGTGTTTCGATCATAGACTATTTTCATATTCTCCGCTTTTCCAGATTAATAATTATTCTGAACCAAAAGCTTAAAAAGAGAGACAACAAAATGAGATAAACGATATGGCGAAAAAATAGGTAATGGATCAAGAGGTATGATTGTTTCGGAGTGGGGGCGGTAAGAAAGAATGGTCTTAAATGCTTAAAAGATGCTTACACATTCTAAATAGACGTAAGCTGTTTAGGGTCACAGCATTTTATTAAACAAAAAGCATCCGGAAATGACCTTCCTGTGCAAGACTGTGTTCAAAAGTGTATAGCCTATCCAAGTATTTTCAACCAGACTTCAGGATTTGTGTCAGTCCACGTCTTTGCGACATTTCGTTTACTGTACACTGAGAAAAAAAAAAAGAATTATTACTCAATCTGCTTAGTCCAAGGACACGTTGTTATAGTCCAAACAACGTCCCAGAAATGGTTTCCCGCCTTACCCAGGTGGCTCAGAAATACAGTCAGGTTCGATCAAATCCTCTTTCTAACTGAAAAAAAAATACTCC